AAGGAAGGAATTTTACTCCATACTGTATCGAGTCACTTAGAACAACAGGGAACTTATGTGAGGCTGTTGTTTGTGGATTATAGTTCTACTTTTAATACCATTCTACCCATTAGGTTGTTTTTTAAAATGATCAACCTGGGATTACCTTAGAAGATTTGTGCGTGGGTAAGGGACTTTCTGACGGATAGGCCACAGTCAGTAAGGATGGGATCTCACCATTCTTCTACCCTGGTACTAAGTACAGGATCTCCCCTGTGTGCTAAGTCCCTTCCTCTATTCTCTGTACATACACACATGATTGCACTCCACTGTATAACACTAACACAATTATTAAATTTGTGGATGATACGACAGTGGTGGGGTCATGAATAAGAACAATGAGTCTGCTTACAGAAAGGAAGTACAAGGGTTGATATTCTGATGTAAAGAAAATAATCTTACACTCATAATAGATTTTAGGAGGAAGAGAAATGTACATTTGCCACTGTACATAAATGGCGAGGAAGTGGAGAGAGTTGATCGTTTTAAATTTCTGGGCACTAACATCTCAGAGGACCTCTCATGGACTATAAATGCCAACATGCTAGTGAAGAAGGCACAGAAGAGGCTGTATTTCCTGAGGATGCTCGGGAAGTTAAATTTATCTCAGCCTTTACTTCTGTCATACTATCATAGCACCATTGAGAGTGTCCTAACCTATGGCATTCTGGCATGGTTTGGGAGTAGCTCTGTAGCGGACAAAAAAGCTCTACAGAGAACCATTAAAATTGCCCAGAAGATCATCGGGCTCCAGCTACCAACCCTGGATGACATCCTCACATCCCGCTGTCTGAGGAAGTCACACAACATCCTTAGAGACTTTCCCCATCCTAATTACAACTTTTTTGAACTGTTACCATCTGGCAGAAGATATAGAACAATTAAGACTCGGACCACACATTTTCTAAATAGTTTTTATCCCAGAGCTATAATTGCAATTAATAATGAGCTTAAAGACCACCAGTAGTGAATAGTTGGACAGTGTTACTTGGCCTGCGGTGTAGATTCTTAGTGGGGGATTTTTAGTGGGTGGGGAGTGTTTGAGGATTTTTTTTTTATGTTTGTGCATGTGGGTCTGGTCTCTGAGTGTCTGTGTGAATTTCGTTGTATGGGTATACCATGTATATACTTATAATGACAATAAATGTGTTTGATTGATGAGGAAGGAAGGGAGGATCCTTTATTCTGGAATGTAACTGGTGTAACTGGAGGTCTGTCAACCTCTTTGAGCATTCCATTATGACGTCATCACAAATGAACAGGCTGGTGAATGATGTCACACGGAGGGTCCAGCCATGATGTCACCTCTAAGCAAAACAATTGCTGGCCTGTGTGACAAAGGGCTAAGGAGGTGCTTCCCTCAGCTTCAGCCCTGAACATGAAGAGAGGAGGCCCCTTTAGAGCATGGTTAAAATGCTGGTCCTCCTCTTCCTCTTCCTGGCATCCTTCATGAGAAGCTCTGGTGGGCCATTCTCTTCCCTTTATTCTTAACCAAAAGGCCACCGTCTTTAGGCAGCCCATAAGACCTTGAGGCCCCTTTAACGCCTCAGGATATGATCATGCAGGCATACTGTTTGCCGTTCAGACCGCTTGCGATGTGGCCCAGTATTTCTCAGCCATCTCGCAGCATACAGGGAAGAGCACCCGGGTGTCTTGTAAATGACCCAGATCCTTGCCGAAGGTTTGGTCGTTTTGGTCCTGCTGTAGGGCTGCTACTTTTCGGGGCTGATCTGGAAGAAAGGGATGGGGTGGTGCTGCAGATTAAACCGCAGAAGCCTCTGTGCTGCAAGGTTGGAAGACCCGCCGTCGTAAGATCGAATCCACGCGACGGAGGGCGCTCCCATCGCTTGTCCCAGCTCCTGCCAACCGAGCCATTCAAAAGCATGTAAAAATGAGAGTAGATAAATAGGTACCACCTCGGTGGGGAGGTCATGGCGTCCCATGTCTAGTCGCGCTGGCCACGTGACCATGGAAATGGTCTTCGGACAAATGCTGCTCTACAGCTTGGAAAACAGGGATGAGCACCGTAACCTAGAATCGGACACGACTAGACAAATTGTCAAGGGGAACCTTTACCTTTACCTGGAGCAAATCCCTGACAGACAGAAGGGTCCCTTTAAGAGAGATCATTCCTACAAAGCTACCCTTTCCAATGTAATCCGGCTGTGGCTTCCTACCTGTCAGATCATGCCCTTAGTCCTTCCCCAAGGTGCACATTTCCAGCTACGCCAGCCTCACTGTCCCAAATCAGTAAAATGGATCCCCCCCCTTTTCATTTTAACAAGATGATGAATTCACCCTTCCCTCTCTTAACAGACCTCACCACATTTCCACCGGTTCCCATTTTCTCCTGCGGACTGAGTTCGAAATTCAAAGCCACCTCCTGGATCCTGCCGAAAGCCGAAGGGGGCAAGACCCAGGATGAGTCAGAGGTGCTTCCGTGGCAGGTCAGCATCCAAGCTGACGGCAAGCATGTCTGCGGAGGAGCGATTTTGAGTAGCTGGTGGATCTTATCGGCGGCTCACTGCTTCCAAGAGGACATGTGAGTATGGAGGATGGTCCTCAGGAATTCCTCTTGATTGGGGAAGAAGCCATCCGTAGAGAGACCCTGCCCAAGTACGATGTTCTAAGAGGCACCATGGACTTGTGATGCATGGGAGGGACCCCAGCCCCCCATGAAAGGCTATTCCCCAAATAATAACTGTCAGTTTTCTAGTTTAGCCCTTCCCAACCTTGGGTCCTCCAGCCGTTCTTGGACTGCAGCTCCCAGGAGCCTTCACCCCTAGCTGTGCTGGCCAGGATTCTGGGAATTGTAGTGCACGTATATCTGGGGACCCAAGTTTGGGAACCACTGGCCTCGTTCTAAGCGTATCTACTGAGGTGGGCAGAAGAGAGATTAAGATGTACAATGAACCTTGAGGTCAGCAGCAATAGACCTCCCTGAAGAAAGTCACAACTGGACATCCACTGCCTGAAAGAATGTCAAGTGTTTTAGCAAGCCTTTTTAAGACTCTCTCAGAGTTGCCAGCCAACCAGGGGGACTGTAGGAAATTAACCTGTGAATTTTCTGAGATCTGAGCCTCCTGCTCTCCAAGGGACTACCTAGAAGACTTTCCCACCCTTCTCAAGCTGCCTTAGATGGACTCCAATCCCCGGTCCCCCCCAATCCCCGATCCCTCTCCTGGTTTTCATGCTCTCATCTGAATGACGTTCTTCCTTCTCCTCCTCCTCCTCTTTGTCTCTCAAGCTCTTCCAGACTCCATGTAGTGGTCCACATGGAAGGGAACCCATCAGGGATAAGGGATCTGGAGAGAGTGATCGTCCACCAAGACTTCAATGGGGAAACCCTGCAGAACGACATTGCTTTGATCCTGCTGGACTCTCCCATACACTTCAGTGAGGAGACGACGCCCATCTGCCTGCCTTTATTACACGATCTGAGCATCTGGCACAACTGCTGGGTTGCAACATGGAGACCCACTCCCGCTGGTATTGCATTGCATTGTCTAGAACTGTGTCAAAGATCCTTGTCCATTTTCAGCTGCACATGGGGGGCAAAGACATTTCCGTGAGGGACCCCTGTGAACGGGGCAGTGTTTTAGCCCCACTTACCCCCCCCCGGCACCTTTTTGCCCCCGTTTGCTACGGGTTGCACCTCTTAAATGGTTCATCTGTTATTCTTCCTCTTACACCTTGGAGGAATTACAGTGGTGCCTCGCTAGACAGTTACCCCGCATGACAGTTTTTTCACTAGACATTGACTTTTTGCGATCGCTATAGCAATTCGCAAAACAGTGATTCCTATGGGGGAATTTTTCTGGACAATGTTTGGTCCCTGCTTCGCAAACCGATTTTTGCTAGACGACGATTTGCTTTTCGCTAGACAATGATTTCGCTAGACAGCTATTTCAGTGGAACGGATTATCATCGTCTAGGGAGGCATCACTGTGCTTCGTCATTTTGCCTGCAGTCTGTTGAGAGGGAGGGCAGGGAAAAAAAGACGGCCTTCGTAACTCTGCCCTTACTCTGGCTTGGCTTCAGGACAAGGCACCATTGGAGTGAGAGCAGAATTTGGGAGCGATGGATTTTGTCTAGAGGGAATGAGGAATGGGGGGAAAATACTTTTTTTTTAAACTGTCCACTCACAAAGCGATCCAGTCAGCCTGGGGATTCTGGAAATGGTTATCCAAATAAATCAGTCTCCGAGCTAAGAGTAAATTGTCAGTTTCCAAGCCAAAAAAAAAAA